AACTAATACAGTATCAGAGTTTTATATATTTATACTTCTCATTCAACCGTAATTAAATTCACTCTATCTAGGAGGCACAGATAATATATGGAAAGTATGAATTTTTTATAATAACAAGCTGGAATGAAAACAAGCAAAAATGAAATAAAAGTAACGACTTTCTTCTTCTTGCCTTTTTGAAAAATGTAAGAAGTAGGAAAAAAAGTAGGCTGAAAAATACTCAAGTAAAATACAGATACCCAAAAATTCTACTCAAGTACAGTAACAAAATATGTGTACTTAATTACTTTACAGCTCTGTAAAACCCTGTAGGGTTTGAGGACTTTCGTAATTTCTCTCTGCATCGTATGGTCTGACCTTGGGGTGAATTTGCTAGGAAGTCCACTTCTGATCAAATTTTCAGTTGTTTTAATAATGTTTCACATGCTGCTACTTTTTCTTTTGTTACCTGTGAAAACAGTGCGAGACGACTTCATATCCCTCATATTTTTTAACTGGTGCAGGTCAAGCGTTAAGGCAGTCATTTATTTCTTTTCTCCATCCGAGAAAATGCATTGCTCATTTTTATATAAAACGGTACCTAAAAAACGCCCTAAACCAGTGATTCCCAACCAGGGGTACATTTTGGACAACACAATGTATTTTGGACGCTGTTGCTTCCTTCACCTGCCATTACCTGGTTTATTTATTTAATTTATTCACTTTCAAGGCATCATGTTTATCTTTAAGTTTAATTTGAGTTGAAAACAATAAAATGTCTGAAAATTAAACATTCTAGGGGGTTACATAAGTAATTGTCATTTAATAGTCAGTTGTTGTACATTATAGTTTTGGAGAATCATCATTGCGTTTGACAGAGGGGGTACTAGTGGTATGACAAAATGACTCAGGGGTACACAAGTCTAAAAAGGTTGGGAACCACTGCTCTGAACATCTTGGAGTCATAGTTAAGTTTTGTGCAGAATAATGAGATCAATCAAGAAGTTCTTATTGTCATTCCAAATGAGTACTGCATGAGGAATGGAAGATAGATACTGAGGTCCCTGCTGTCAGACAAAAAAGCAACAAGAAAAGACAAAATGAACWGTGTGTCACAGATGGAGTGTATTGCAACACACAGACGTACACATTCAGTCATAATCGTTTCTTTAAAAAAAATTGGGATTAATCGCAAAAATATCTTGTGAATAAATGCCCAGCCCCCCCCCTTTTTTTTCAAATCAATTCAAAACTTTATTGTCTTAATGCACAGAAGAAAACAAATGGTTACACTGTACAATGAAATTCTTACTTTGCTGTTTTTAACATTTTTTTTCTGCTTTTCTCTGCCCTTTTTTTTTCCACTAGATAAAAATCACAGTTTTATGTCGTGTTTATCAGATACCTTTAGGTCCTGAACTGAGATTGGTTGTAATCATTTTCTACAATGAGCCCAGTGATGTAAAATAATAACTTAAAACTTTTGAAAAAAACATTTGTTTCAAAATGTGTTTTAGCTTATACCTAACTCTATTGTAATGATCATTACTTTCAAAATAGACAAAAGGAAAAAAAAACACTTCTCTGTAGAACACAGTTGAGTTTCGGTGTTGTTTGGTGACCGTCTGTGTTTTGAACAGGTTTTCTTTGAGGATGAAGATGGGAAGGAGTACATTTACAAAGAGCCCAAACTTACGGGCCTGTCAGAAATCTCCCAGCGGCTGACGACGCTCTACGAGGAGAAGTTTGGCCCAGACAACGTCAGGATCATTCAGGACTCAAACAAGGTGCAGCAGATAGGGGGGTGATGGGACATACGTGGATTCTGACTGCAATATTTGCAGAAACAAAAAAAWAAATAAATAAATCACTTGCCGTCTCAACCTCACTGATGTGTTGATTGGATTGATTTCTAAGGTTTTAAAACAGGGCTATTCAACTGACGGCCCCCACGAGTGACCAAAGTTCGGCCCGCCAATTGGTTCATTCATCTCTTAAGCCCAAACCCCCGGGTTTCGACTTTAATTACTCTAAGTTATTTTAGTTAAACCTAGATGTATTTGGTGTCTACAGAAACATCAGAATCTTGGCTACAAGCTGGTAAAACCCATTTCTATAAACACTCAAGACAGTTAAAGAAACAAGCAGTTGAAGATAAAATGATGAAAGTGAAGTTTAAAAATTTGGCAAGTCAGAGATGTCAAAATATTTGTTTCAAATAGGGGGTATAATGTGTTCTTTTTGTTTTTGATAATGTTTAATTATCACTACTTTTATAGGGTTCTGTATGTTGTATTCATGATTAAATGCAGCAAAATAAACTAATTCAAATGTAACAGATCTTTGTAATACTTGGTTTATTTATATTTAGATATTATAAGATTATTTTTTTCTCTCTGCCACCTTTCATTTTATTTGTGTTTCTTTTTATTGTACATAGAAACTGATTTTTATGTTTTATGAAATGAATAAAGTTTATCATCATCATTATTTACATAACTTTCATTGCTGGATGTTCGGCCCCTCAGCTGTTGACCAGCAGTAACTGTGGCCCCCGGAGCAATTTAGTTGAATAGYCCTGTTTTAAACTTAAATATGGAGCTAAAGTGGGTGTGCTCGCAGCGTTAATTCCAGAAATTCTAGGTCATAAATAAATGAAATTTGACCTCTCTTGACATCCAGGTGAATCCCAAGGAGCTGGACTCCCGCTTCGCCCACGTCCAGGTGACGTTCGTCAAGCCGTACTTCGAAGAGAAGGAGGCGCCGGAGAAGAAGACGGACTTCGAGAAGTGCCACAACATCAGCCGCTTCGTGTTCGAGACGCCGTACACGCTGTCGGGGAAGAAGCACGGCGGCGTGGAGGAGCAGTGCAAGAGGAGGACGGTCCTCGTCAGTACGTGTCACGCACACAGACACCAGGCCGGGGGAACGTTGGACAGCTATTTCAGCTGGATCTGTGACGCCGCGCCAAACCAAACAAGCTGCTAGAGTCTAGCATCAGCTGGACGAGCTGCACATTAAAGGGATCCATGATTAGTTGTAACATTAGACTTTATTTAATAAACACTTTTTAACTGTAAAATAAAGACTGTAAAAATACTGTAGGCTGTTTATTTTTTATCATTTTTAAACTAAAAGTTTAAACACGGACGGGGCCATTTTATTTACACACAAAGCATTCTGGGTAAATGATGACGTGGATAGGTCCTCAGTGTGAGCGAGCTATATCCACCTTGAAGGTTAATCTTGGACAATATCTGATGATCGACTCTTTTAAATGAAACCAGAGAGCGTTGACAGAGAGGAGAAGGTAGAAATGACTCAGCCTGGAACTGAAAATATAGATGGAGGACAACAGAGCTGCTTCATGGAAGAAGAACCTCAGTTCTTCAGCTTAGCCTGTTAGCTTTAGCATTAGCCCCGATGCTATCACCATATATATGTATTAGCTCAGCCTTACACATTCTTCTCTCATCACTGAGGTCCTCCATCAATATTTTCAGTTCCAGGCTGAGTCATTTCTACCTTCTCCTCTCTGTCAACGCTCTCTGGTTTCATTTAAAAGAGTCGATCATCATATATTGTCCAAGAATAACCTTCAGGGTGGATATAGCTC